TCCGCGGGCAGACAGGCGAACGCGGGACCTTCTCCTCCAAGGGCGCCCGGCGCCTTTCTACCCACCCCCGGCCCGTCTCTTTCAAGCGGCGGCGACTGCGGGGCGGGGGTTGTCCTGCGGGGACACCGGTGGGCACGGAAAGAAGGGCAGGCGGGAGAAGCTCCTCTCCCTGCCCCGCCCCGGGGGGGTGTCTTCCCCTTCTCCTGGTACAGGGAGCTCCACGGCGCTGGGCGGGCGCCAAAGACGACGCTCGGGGCTCGGTCGGAACCGTCCGGCGCGCCCGATCCGATGCTAGCGCAGCGGCTGCGCGCAGCTTCGCTCCAGTGGCGGCCTTCCAAGCGCTTTGCCTTTCCCTTCCCGAGGCGACGCGGGACTGGGGCCGCACCGGCGGCAGCAACTCCCAACAGCCCCAGCCAGACACCTGAGCGGAGCCCGGGCGGAACTGCCTGTTGCCGCCGTGGGCGCCGTTGCGGGCGCCCGGCTGCCCAAGTAAAGAACAGGGCCGCGCCGGACCATCGGAGAAGCGGAGCAAAGCCGGACACCAGCAGCCGCCTCCCTCGGCGCAGAAAGCCTCCCCCAACCCGCCGGCCGGTCTCCTCCTCCTCGATCACACAGAACAAACAGGCAGAGAAGGAGGAGAGCAGCTGGCCAGCCGGGGGAGGCCTCCCGTGCTGCGAAAGAGGCAGCCAACGATCTCCGGCGCCGTCCTGCTCCACGCACTGGCTGCTCGGACTTGCCGGGCCCGGCACATAGAACAGGGCAGTGCTGGATGTTGGAGAAGCTGAGCGGAGCTGAAGCGACCTCGGCTCGCATTGTTTTCTGAGCCCATTTTTTTTTCAGAGGGGAATCTGACTTGAGTATAAGCCGAGGGGGGTTTTTTCAGCACAAAAAATGGTCTGAAAAACTCGGCTTATACTCGAGTATATACGGTAATCATTTTCCTCTTCCAGGGGTTTCAGATGTAATTGGATTCCTACATTGCACTAAGCCATAGAATGGTTTGCTTTTGGCTTCAAATGCTGTGTGAACCTTGCTATGATTTCTACATGCTGTTTTATAACTTAACATACTATGCAACTCTAGTCAA